AGCAGACTGTGAACTATCGCTGGTCCGCCGTGAGACGTGTTCAAAGTGAAGAGCACGCATTCAGAAGTATTTACAGCAATCTGACACTGCCATTTAATCAGCGGCCCAGCTCGCTGGACAGGGCACAGACCAGCTGCGGAGTTCCCAAACCACTGCGGCGGGTCACCTGCAGCATAAGCCATGAACTTGATCTGTGCAGTGGAATATGACGGGCTGCAAAGAACAAACAGTAACAAGGTGGTCCTTCACCCACAGAGAGCCTGTTCTAATCCAGGGGTCAGCATACTTTTTCTCTCAAGGATGAAACAGCAAATACAGACTTTGTAGACCATATACGGTCTTAATTTCATATTCTTTTTCTGTTTTTTTTTTTTTTTTTACAAACTTTTAAAATAAACCATGCTCATCTTGAGGACTGTACAGAACAGGCAAAGGCTAGACCTGGCCCACAGGCCACAGCTGCTGATCCCCTATTCTAAGCAGTAAATAAGACAAAGTCCAGGTGGGGGAAATGCGGAGAGGCTGGTTAGAAGCTATATACACTTCTGGCTATAAGATGAGTATGTTCTCGGGATCTAATGTAAAACATGGTGACTATAGTTGTAAACACTATTCAATAATCAAAATTTGCTGAGAATAGCATTTAAATGTTCTATTCACACAGAAGATACACACAAAATATAAATATGTAAGGTGATAGATATGCTAATTAACTAGACAGGCAGGAATCCTTTCATTATATATATAAGGTGAAATTTTTTTTTAATGGACAAAATCACTGCAATAGACCTAATATCACTTCTTGTTTTCCTTTAGCTTCATCGTCATCATCATCATTTGCAGTCACTGTCAGAACTCACTGAGCTCTTACTTTGTGTGGGATATTGAGTTAGGGGCTTTGGATACAAAGTGGGAAACAGCACAGTTCTGCCCTCGCCAAGTCTCCAGTCCAGCTGGGATGAAAGGACTGAGTCATAAACAATAACATAAGCACCAAATAAATATGGGGAGAGTTTGTGTTTTAAGAGCACCAATGCTTTTTTTAAAAAGAGGAGGAAGAAAAATGGAATGCAGCAAAATTTTGGCTTTTTGTACCAACTTAAGGGAGTATATAACAGATAACTCAAGGTCATATACTGGCCATGGGACTGGACCAGGCAATGTTTTCTAAAGTGTGCCTGCCAGATGTGTCAAGATTGGAAGGCACCCCCTTAGGTGGGTGTAATCACGGCACAGTGGCACTTAGAGCCCAAGAGCCCTATACACTACGTGTTTCTCAGACTTGTTTGACCATGGAAACTGTTTTCAGAGTAACACTCACGTAGGTCACCAGGAGCTCCTCAGAATATTTTAGGAAATCCCCAACTATCCTATAGAATAGTAGGGTGCACTGATATTCTGGTGATCAACCTCAGGTTATACTGATAATTCACAAGGTGCTGACAGGTGGTCTAGTCTTCCTATCTGTCATCTCACAACCTTCCCAATGTTAAAAGGAACCATCCTCTTTCAGACAGTATGTTTCATCCTTTTAAAATCTCCGTGACAGGAAAAAATAGCCCTCAGTTTCCACTCTAAGAACAATGCTGTGCAGGTGAAAGTGAGGTGCTCAATGACGGGCCAGAACCCAGCAAACTTTAAAGCAAGGCTAGCCACCATCAGATGCAGGATCAGACGACCCACAACCAGATAAAAAAATAGCTCTTTGGAGAGAAAGGTCTGACACTTTTAAGTCTGATCTATTTCTGGACCTACACACAGTTTATTAGGCCTCCACGAACGCAGTCCTCTGAGGCAGGAGACAAGAGCATCAGAGGCTCGTTCTGATTTCCAGGTTGCCCCCTTCATCCTCTTCCTCAAGAAAAAGGAAGCCAGTGATACACAACCTGACAGCTTCCTGGGAAGGGGAACTGTTTCTGATTAATTCACATAGTTTTAAATTAGGGGTATATACCCAGGAGGGCATCTGATGGCTATTTCAGCTTTAGTCATAACCAAAATATTAGTGCTTTAATGTGGGCAGGAGAAAAATGGGTAAGTTTCAAACCCTTTGGGGATGACAAGGCCACTTGTGCCAATGTTGTGTCCAAAGCTGGCCCACAGCCTTCCCACTTTATAAGCTCTCCCTGTGCAGACCTGAGGAGCCAGGAATGAGTGATCAGGCCCCATTCAAGAGCCAGTAATTAAACACGGACTTTGTGGCAGGATCTGACTAAGCACAAAGGCTGTGGTCAATTGTCATGGACCTTGAATGCCATGCTAGGAAGTGTAGCCTTTTTCAGATGTGACAAGCAAGGTAGTGATAAAATTTTATGTGTGTTTTAGGCAGACACCTTCTGGAGCAAGGTGAGGAGAGAACGAGAAGGGAAGGCTGGTCTGCACGGTGTAGGGTCACACAGTTATTTCCCTCGAGGTCTTTCGCTCAAAGTAATTGGCACAGGGCAGCTATTTGGCAGGAGACAAGGCTGGACTTTACTGTCTAAATGAGAACAACTCCCGTCTGGCTGATCTTAATTTGTTAAAGCCTCTGCTGAGAACCAGAAACTGAGGAGGAAGCAGCAAAGCCTCCTCTGACTCGGCTGGAGTGCCTGTTACGTCTCAGGCGTCAGGGTCCGCCCAGGACAAGGAAGCAGGAACTGGCGTCTCTCCTGCCAGTGGGTGGGGGACCAGGGACCACCACCCCATTGCAGTGGGAAGTCACACATCTTCAGAACCCTACCTTTCTTCCAGAACTTGCTCTTGGCAAATGTTGCCCCCCCACTTCCCCAGGCCTGGACTGCTGTCCTTCTTTCCAGTTACTTAGCCGTGATCTTTTCTCCCAATATCTAACACAAAGCCTATAGTTTGAGAAATCTGCCCTGGTTGTCCCAACATTCAAATCTTAGTTCAGCTATGTGACGTTGGACAAGTAACCAAATTCTCTGAGCCTCAGTTTCCTCTATAAATCAGAATACTATTATTTATTAATAGAGTGGTTGTGAGGACGGAATGAAAGAAATTAACATACTGCCTGACACATGGTAAATGTTTACGAGTAGGTAATAGTCGAAGTTAAACAAATATTAACTGCTCACTGCAAGTATTTCACCTATCAACTCGTTTTATTCTTACAATAATCCAACAAGGTAGGTATTAGGGATTTTTCCATTTTACAAGTGAGGAAACCAAGGCACAGAGAAGTCCAGTAGTCTTTCCAAAGTCACACAGTTTATAGATGGCAGAGCCAGGATTTCAACACAGGTCGTCTGGCTGCAGTCTGAGCTCTCAGGTACTACGCCATGCTTGTTGAGAGTACCGTTTCCCTCTCTGAACTTGCTACTGGTCTCACTCATTATGACATATACTGATTAAAGGGGCTAATTTTTCATGCCTATATAGCAACCCAGCCTGACTCTAAGCTCCTGAGGGCAAAGACTTTATCTCTTGCTTCTCTCTGGCTATTCTCACAGTGTTCTGTGTAATAAACACTATCTGCTGACAGAAAACCTGACTACTTACTATCCTTCATAGATGTTTCTGTTTGTTGACATTTACAAATTCAAATCTATTTCACAAATGTGTAAAAAAGAGTGAACACAGCAGGCCTAGGACTGAGAAAGTCCTGTTTGCAAGCTTAGTCCTTGGCTGGTGTCTGGGAACTTGGGCTTTAGGAGGGTCCCCACCACTTCACTAAGAGCGCCCACTGTACTTGAACTGCTGTGCAAGCAGTGTGGTGGTTCATGCTGAACACCCATTTTCCTTCTGAGAGTTGGTAATTCTGGCGTGTACCGCTAGAAGGTGCCTATGTGACCAGTTCCCAATAAAATCCCTGGTCAGTGGGCCTCCAATGGGCGTCTGTGGTGCACACCCTTTCCGCGAGCTCTCACTCCTCGCACCCTGTGTGACTGCACTGCGGAGACCTCCGGAGGCCCGCTCGCGAGTCCTCTGCACACGGCCCTGTACCTTTTCCCTTGGCTGCTCTGCAGCCTTTGGCTGTAACAAGTAGCTGTGGGGAGAACTGCGCGCTGAGTCCTGTGAGTCCTCCTAGTGACTCACCTGACCGTAAGATGGGATTGGGGACCCCAACACAGTAAAAATTAGGAAAACTTGTCCCCAAACAGAATATCCTGCTACCTTCTGAAAGAACAACCTAAAATGTTTGCAAGGCCACTTTAGAAGTGGTCAGGAGCTGGAGCTTGGACCCAGCACTCCTTGCTCAGGAATCCAGTCTCAGCCGGGCTGGGAAGATGTGCAAGGGAAGTGGCTTTGAGGATGCAGTTCATGCACTCTAGAAGCTGGCATGCAACCCTACAGGGGGACAGAGGGGGACAGGCAGGTGCTGGGGAAATACTGAGGTCTGGTTTGCTGTTCCTGAGTGTGTGGCCTTGGGCAAATCATTTAACCTGCTGAGTCTTCTTGTCCTCACCTGCAAAAGGGGGTTCATTAATAGCACCTGCAACACATAGGGGCTGGGGCTGTAGCAGGGTGTGCACTCACGAGACCCTGGCATCAAGTGATGCACTGTTGGGAGGGAGGGGCACGTCATGGGTGCCCCGAGGAAGACCTCAGGAAACACTGGTTGCTATGTTCCAGCTCCTCCCTCAGGAAAACACTCTCAGAGGCAGGAAGGAGGGGCATGGGGGTCAAGGAGACCGAGGTAAAATGGCTAAAACTGAGCCAGCCTCATAAGGTTACTGAGACAAGACAGGCAAGAGCCTAAACTTTGGACCAACAGCCTGGGCTCAAACAGTGGGACCTTGGGAGTTACGTAACTTCCCAGGCCCCAGCCACCCTGTCTACAAAATGAGGATAGTAACAGTCGCTGCCTCACGGGATGGCTGTAAGCTAATAACATTCTGGCACAGTGCCTAGCACACAGTAGGTGCTCCAAAGGACGAGCTACAGTATTTTGGGAGGAAATTCAAGCGCTGTACATCGTAAGGTGTTAAGTGCTCTGTGAACGTCAGTTGCTACCATTATCACTATTACTAATTAAGGATACCAATGGAGACAATACTTACAATCTTTTCTTGTCCACCACTTGTTTAACTCGGATGGCTCTTTGTTCTGAGTAAAGTTTACATACTCCTGTTGCAAGGGAAAATACCAGAACAGAGACCATTTAAAACTGCTTCCAGGTAAAGTTATCATTAAATATAATGATACACTGTAGTCTTCAGCTAGCAAAGCGAAATTTTGCATCACACCTATTGTGAAATGCTACATTTGACCTTTAAGATAAAATGAAATACTTTTTAAATAATCTTCAATGAAGTCCAAAACAGCACTCCTGTGCTCCTTCACTTGCTGGGAATGTATCTCCTTGTGGGCTGTAACAGGAAAGGACAGTATTCAGGTCTTTATATTCAATTACTTTGAAGAACAATTCATCAGCTTCCTTAGAACAGTTTCTTTATTGAAAGTATTTTTAAAAATACAGCTATTGGGAAGGGAGGGATAAGGGGGAAAACGGGGCATTACGATTAGCACACATAATGTAGTGGGGGGAACACGGGAAAGGCAGTATATACAGAGAAGACAAGTAATGATTCTATAGCATCTTACTACGCTGATGGACAGTGACTGTAAGGGAGTATGTGGGAGGGACTTGATAATACAGGGAGTCTAGTAACCATAACGTTGTTCAAGTAATTGTACATTAACGATATCAAAAAAAATACAGCTATAAGTCTTGTGTCAAGTGACATTACATTTTTAAGAGAGTAAGATTTATCATGCTCTGTAAAAGGTAAAACCTGTAGGAAAACTACAGTCAAATCATTTATGGTTTATCACAGAACTAGGGCTCACGTTCAACGTGGCCCCCTCTCAAGTGCTAACCCCGTTTGTACTAACAGTGTCCAATGCTCAAGCAGACCTTCAGGTCACATGTTTAAATCAAACCCCAGCCACACACACACACACTCCTCCCCCACGCCTGTCTGGGCTGTTGCTCAGCACGGGATACTACGTTCCTCCCCACTCAGTCATTCACGCTCTGAGGGGTCCTCGGACACTAAGTCAAAACTTCCTTCTCCAGGAATCCTTCCTGGACTCTCCTAGCCACAGGGTGCCTTTCTTTGGTGAACAATCACATCTTAGAGTCTGTGCCATTTGTTGTGGGGGGACAGCTCCCATTTATTGAGACTGAGTGCCTACTATGTGCAGACTCTCTGCTAGGACTTTACATACTGCTCATAATGCAAACAATCCAAAAGGCAATTATGATTACATTTACTTTGCACACAAAGGAACTAAAGTTCAGTGTTCACAAGCAGCCCAAGGTCACATGATTGGGTACTTACTGCTGGTTTTATTAACGTTCATTTATTTCCTAGGTTATTTCAATGAATGAGTAGGTCCTTAAGGGTAGGGAGCTTGATTTATGTTTTATTATAGGACTGCTTAACTTGAGATTCACATGAGAGAGTCAGCAGATCCATGAAATTATACACAAAATTTTGTGTATATGTATATTTTTCTGGCAAGAATGTTTGCAGTTTTTATCAGATTCTCCAACTGGTCCCCTAGGGTTCTAACAGAAGATTCCCAAATAAGTCTACGTGAAAATCACAGAGCATCTGGCCACTTTGAACACTACACTATTTAATGTAATCTGTGTCTGCCTAAGCAAATAAAAAAAGAATCAAGGGAAATACATGACGCGGGATGCCACCTCAGTGCCTCAATAAGAATGAAACATCAGTGAAGGTGGGGTAACATTAATAACCCTAGCACCAACTGTGGTTCTAAGCATGCTGAAGAATTTAATCAGTTCTCAGACTAACCAACCCTCAGAGATAGGTTCTACAATTATCTCCATTCTATAGATGAAGAAACTGAGGCCCAGGGCAATTAAGTGGTTGCCCAAGGCCCTGTGACTAGAACATTGTGAAGCTTGGATGTGTACATAAGCAGCCGTGGTTTCAGAGCTTTCCTCTTAACCATGAGAGTTTGATACTAAAGAATACTTTATAACTACAAGTACCGGGCTTGGATTACCCTCCCTCCTATCCACACGCCGGCAACCACTGCCCCACTAAGTGCCACACAGAACACAGGCACGCCAGCATGCACTCACAATTTGTCTTCTTTGATCCTGGCCCCTTAGTGAATTTGTTTCTGTTTCAAGAGGTCCTTTCTACCACTCTCCTTCCATTTGTTTACCTTGAATCATGAGCTTTATGCTGCTTTTAATGGCTCAGATTAAAATATTAACCAGAAAAAGATGTCTTAAAGTCTCAAAACCTAGATCTAAATAAGAACACAAGAGGGAACTTTAACTGGCTGTGCCATATGAATCTCGTGAGCACTTCATAGCGCCGTGGCTGTCTGTACGCATCTGTCACCTCACCTTGTGCTCTTAGGTGCTGAATTGCTTCTGAGCAGGTCCTCATGAATGTCTGAGCATCCTGGTCTATCTGGTCCCGTTCTGTGTCTGTCATCCTCCCATATTCAGACATGATATGGCTAAAAAGACAGAGAGGGGTGGGGCAAGAGGACAAAACTACAGGGAAGCAGAAGCGACCGCATCATGTAGTCTGGATGGGGTGCTGCAGTGCCGTTCAGGCTGAGGCTTGAGGGATGAGGAGGATCAGGCCAGGCGAAGAGGTGGCAGAGGCTCCCGACAGTGGGACCGACACATAGGGGGCCCTCCGGTAGAAAAGGCTTCCCGAGGAAACCAACACGGAGCAGGCCGGTCCCGCGAGAGGGCGAGGCCAGCGTGGGGAGGTGCTGGGTTGCAGCACGTGATGCCTTATTGGGAACGTGGGCTCTGGCTTTGAGAACAACAGGGCGGCCACTGAAGGCTTCTATACAACACAATGACAGAATCTGATTTACATAAGAACATCCTGGGTGCCGCACGGAGAAGGATGTGGGGCGCTCTTTGGAGGCTCTTGAGATACATGTGACAAGCTATTGCAAGCTGACATTTTTTCCATGTTAACAAGCAGTCCTCAAAACTCACAATAAAATAACTTTTAGACACAATTCATTTCTCGTGATGTTAAGTTTCAAAACTCTAAACTTACTGAGCTAGTAAGGGAGCTCACTTTCAGTGATACAGCAGCTGGAAACCCAAGTATTAGTTATGTTATCTGCTCATCTTTGTAAGATCTGGGCAGATGAGGCAATGTTATTATTAACAGTGCTGCTAAATAGCCTAAGTGAACACTCTGGACATTAACAGCTGCAATTTAGAATTACAAAATGTCGAGTGAAAAGGGACCTTGGAGAATGTATGGACTCAGATTCTTCGGCTTCCACCCACCAGCCCCACCAGCCACCCGGCCTCACTGAGAATAAATACAAAGCTCAGCTGCCCCCATCCCCACCTTTGACCTACTTCCTGTCACTCGTCCTGTCCACTGCACTCCAGCCACGCTGGCCTCCTTGCTCTCCCCACGGAGGTCCGCATTTTCCCTTCCTCTGATCTCTGCCCAGATGGCCTGATCTGAGCCGGCTTCCCTGGGCTGGCCCCCAGCACCCGCCGTCCTGAGTTCCGTGCCACCTACTCAGTTACCTATTAAGTTATTGTCTCTGGGCTGCAAGCCACCCTTCTACACTCTGCCCTGTGACGCGAGGGTGCTGGGGCTCTCCGAACCACATTGCCACTCTACACTATTCCTTACCTGGCCTTACTTCCCTTTACAGCACTTACCGCTCCTGAAATAGCTGTCTCTCTCTCCTCCCAGAACGCAAGCTTCATGAAAGCAGGGACTCTGTCCCGTTCATCTTTCTTTCCCCAGCATCTCAAATGGTGTCTGCACACAGTAGGTGTGCTAACTGTAGCAGAGCACTTAGTATGTGCCAGACACTCTTCTTAGTGCCTTATGTGTATCTTATTTACATATTAATCCTTGCAACTCATTCATTCATGCACTTATTTACCAGCCCCCTATATGTCCAGCCTCTGATAGGGGCTGGGGATGAGCTGAGGAAGGCTCATTGGGGGCCCCACAGGGCACACTGCACCACAGGGGAGACTGGCACAGAAGCAGGGAGCATGAGAAACCGCTGTGGGTGGCACTGGTCTGCAGCTGGGCAGTTTGTGCAGGGGAGGTGCCAGTCATGCAGAGAGGAAGACTGCACAGAGAACCATGGGAAAGGACCTGCTACAAATCCCCAGCGTGCAGGTCATGGCTGGAAAGACCGCATAATGCAGGATCTATACCAGGACATATCTGAGAGTGAAGGGGCCACAGGAGTAAACTGGGCGGTCCCCACAAACTGCACGTCACAGCTGCGAGCCTCTGGGGCCCCTGAGTTACTTCAAGGAGTGGCATACCACATGCACATGGAGTGTCTATACTGGATGTGTATGGCTTATGTCTGCACTATTTTTCAAAGGAATGAAGATGGTATTATGATATTACACATTTATATAAAATGGATAGTGAAATCAATCAGCAATGGCAGTTTCTCTAGTATCAATAGGTTTCCCTAAAATACAATGATCATATGGAAGCAACCTAAGTGTCCATCAGTAGATGAATGGATAAAGAAGATGTGGTACATATGCACAATGGAATATTATTCAGCCATAAAAAGGAAACTATTTGCAACAACATGGATGGGCCTAGAGGGTATCATGCTCAGTGAAACAAGCCAGGCAGAGAAAGACAAATACCATATAATTTCACTTATTTGTGGAATATAAAAACAAAGCAAAACAGAAGGAACAAAACAGCAGTAGACTCATAGACACTGAGAAGTAACTAGTGGTTACCAAGGGGTGGGGTTCAGGTGGGCGGTGGGGAAGGAGATAAAGGGGCACAATAATTCACTATCACGATGTACGTTAGTCACAGGGATGGTAGTACAGCATGGAGAATACAGTCAATGATTCTGTGACATCTTTCTATGTTGATAGATAATAACCATACCAGATGGGGTGAGGATTTAATAATATGGGTAACTGTTGAATATGTTTAAATTTGAAACCAAGACTGTGTATCAATGATACTTCAATAAAAAAAATACAATGATCATACAGAATACAAAAATTCCACTATCAATTAGAAACAAGTTTTTGCAGTAACGAATCTGGCGATAGCCGCTAAAAAATTTCAGAGGAATCTGCATTCTGCACGGGGTCCCCTGTGGGGGCTGGCCTGCAGGCAGGCAGAGAGACCCCTGAGGTCCTCGACCACAGTTCAGAGTCTAGGAAGAGATGAAGAGCCCATGAGCCAAGGCCATGCTGGAGGGGAGAGGAGACAGCCCAGATCTGACAGGGATGTAGTAGGTGCTTTGCCCTAACTGCATGTGGGGGTAAATGAGGGGAGGCCTAGGACCCAGAGCACAGACGGCAAAGGCAGAGATTAACGTATCGGGCCACACAGGGATGCAAAGCTTAGGACATGACAGATGAGAAGACGGAGCAACCTGAAAGAGGGGCCAAATTCTTATTTTCTGTGACATTTTAAGGACAGCACTGGATATATAAGCATTTGAAACATATTTATCAACAGTAACAAAGCCTTGCTAGTGATGTCACCCCAAATTAAGTATCACAATAACAAAATTATTACTTCTTTGAAAAGGTTAATTATCTGGCAAATAAATTCCAAGAATATATTTTCTCATAGGACATACATATGTAAATTTGTCAAGCTTTATTTCCTTTATGCTGCACAGAATAATTTTATTACAGAGCTTAATTTATCTAAATATTTGATTGAATGAAAGGAGACTATGATAGTTATAGGTTTGGATTAGTCAATTTACTTCAGGGAGAAAGGAGGGAAAACTAGGTATTAAGTTTATTCTGGGCTCAGAAATTTAAAGGAATATGCTTTTTTAAACCATTTAGTTTATTGGTATGATAAGGGCAAGTTCATACAAAATACCACTGACATTCTGCCTACCTATTAATTTATCATGCAATTAGATATTTCCTGAGGATAGAGCAGAAGAGAGGGTAACAAGTTATTTTACACTCTGTTCCCAAGGTCACTGACACAGGGTGGACACAAGCTAAAGACTACACTCTTACTTTGCTATAAATATTAAATATGGCAAGTATATACCTTGCCCCTAGTATATGCCAAATATACTTTCTGAAATTGAGCTGTTAATGTTTGTGCTACAAACATAAACAAAATATAGACCCTGTTCTTAATAAACTATATCACAATATGTAACATGTAACATGTATAGCTGAGCCTTGAACAATGTGGGGGTTAAGGGCACAAAGCCCCCATGTAGTTGAAAATCCACATATATATTTTGACTCCCCCCCAAACTACTAATAGCCTACTGTTGACTAGAAGCCTTACTGATAATAGTCAATTAACACATAGTTTATATGTTTTTATATAGTGTATTCTTATAATAAAGTAAGCTAGAAAAAAATGTTTTTCCAAATTGTCACAAATCTCCAAACTATTTTCCAATATATTGAAAAAAATCCACATATAAGTAGGTCCATGCAGCTCAAACTCGAGCTGTTCAAAGGTTAACCATATGTGCTTATGTATCATAAACAAAGACTAACAGCTACAGAACGCTTCCATGTGTTAACACCATTCACTGTTCTAAGTGTTCCACGTATATTTACCCACTTAATTCTTAAAATTCTATGAGTGGGCACTACAGTAACTTCCATTCTATACATGAAGCAACTGAGGCACAGAGAGGTTCAGCAACTTGCCCAAGTCACGGAGCGAATACTTCACAGAGTTGGGATTTGAACCAAGGCATTCCTGCCCGAGTCTATGGTCTTTACCACCACGCAGGGCACCCCTCACGCCAAAAAAGGCAGGGGAGTTCAGAAAAGGGGCTGCTTATTTCCTACTAGCTGATCAGGATGAAGGGGAACCGTGCACTAAATCCTAAAAGGCAGGCTGCAGCTGTTGGGAGGCCAGTGCAGACGCTCCCAGTAACAGAATGGAGTCAGGAGAGAGGGAGCCTGTCTGGAGAAGAGCCAGCACTCCGTTTGGCTGGAACACAGCACAGGTAGAAGCCATGGGTTCTTGGGGGGCCTTCAGTGCTAGTGGAAGGAGCTTTAGCCAGTGGAAGGGCTCAGCCTGGGGAAGATAAATGTGGCAATACCACAGTAGGTGGAACGGAGGAGGAATATCAGACAATAGGTTATCCAAATGAGGCAGAGAGCCCTGCTTATCATCTTTGTATCCCCAGCACCATGGAACAGGTAGGTGCTAGTAAGTTTCTATTTAATGGAACTTTAAGAAAGGGACAATGGCAGAGCCTGGGTGGTAGCAGGGGACCAGGAAAAGGCAAAGGATGGAGATTACAACTGTCAGGAACAGAACAATGCTGGAAGCAGAGCATCAACAGACCCCAAGATCTGGGGTCTGGGTGAACAAGATACAGTAACAGAAACAAACAAACAAACAAAAAAACAGAAAGAAGGTAAGAACGAACTCAAAATATTTAAGAAAGAAAGAAACTGCTGCTAACACTTGTCCTTATAATGCAATATAAAAGGACAGAAGTAATGTTCTTGAGACCAAATGGTCCATGAGTGACTCTTTGTTTTGAAAAAAGGAAACCAGGGCAAAATGATCTTACAACCCTTGAGTAATGAAATCTGGGGAAACTAAAGGAGAAGTTCTACCATCTCTTAGGGGGAAAGGGAAGAGTCATTGTGGCTACAAAGCTGGGTTCTGGAAGGATGCCAGGAGTGAGTGGGAAGCAATGAGACAAGACCTGTGTGGAGTTAGAGCTGAGATGGGAGAGACCAGTGGGCCTACAGAACCACCGATGACCGGCTCCCTATTTAGCCGGCAGACCACACGCTGGCCCTCTCATGGTCACCCTCTCAATGGCGCCCTCCTGCTGCCTGCCAAGTGTGCACAGTGTCCTTGCGGATGTGCTCCCACTCTCCCGGACGGCTGTCCCACGTCCTCCCCACGCTCCTCAAACCTCTCCAACACCCCACCCCAGCTCCAGTGTCAGTAATGACTCCGCTTCCTGTTTCCTCCCTCCTCGCCTCCCTTCCGCGGGGCCCATGGGCCCTGCCTTCTCTCCGGCTGCTCTGGGTGAAGCGTCCACTTCCGGGCTCTGCCCCTCCGCCTGGACGTGAGGCTGGCCCCACCAATTCTCTTTTCTCTCCCCTGCACCTTCAACCTTAAAAGAATTCATGTGTGTGCACACAGTGAACACTGCACGTGTTAGTTACTAATATACGGATTTTTTCCTGTTGACTGGATCTTTCCTAGCCACATACAAACATGGTATTATTTCTCCCAACTTAAAAAAAAAACAACAAAAAACCTCTTAGCGCCATGTCTCCTTCCAGCCATTGTCCAATTTTTCCTCTCTCTTCAGCAAAACTTCTCTAAGAAGTTTACCCCCGAGGTCTCCATTTCCCTGACCACTTTTCTCGAACCCCATCTCAACAGTCTGTACCCTCATCACCCCACAGCTGTCCTCGCTCCCACGGCTGCCACGGCCCCTGCACTGGCTCGGACGGGGCAGATGGCTCCTCTCCTTGGCTGGTTTTCTTCCTCTGGCCACCATGACACCACACTTCCCTGTTTTCCTCCTACCTCATTGACTGCTCATTTTTCAGGCTCTTTGTTGACACTGTCGTTCAGCCACCCCCACCCCTGCTGACCATTTAAGGACCCAGTTCGTGGCCCAGTGTCTGAATCTCTTTGCTGCCCACACTGCTCCCTGGGTGAGTTTGTCTAGTCTAGTTGCTGTTCTGGTGTGAACAGCACCTTTACGCTGACAGGTCCTAAACTCCTATCTTTAGCTCGGACCTCTCCTTGAACCTGAGACATAAATGTCAAATGCCTGCTCAGCATCTCCAGATGTTTGACCCGCGTGAAGCCCGAGGCTGACCTCCTGCCTGCCCCCTGCGCACAGTCCTGCTACAGCCTCCCCCACTGGCACCAGCCGCAGGGCCATTCCTCCGGGCAGCTCAGGCCCCGCACCTGAGTCATCCTGACTCCTTTTTCGCTCCCATCTCACATCTAACCCATCACAAATCTTACTGGTTCTACCCTCAAAATATTTCCAGCAGCTGACCTCTTGCTATCACGCCCACAGCTGCCCCTCTGGCCCCTCACCTGGCCTGTAGCCACCTGGCCCGCCTGCTGCCTCTGCCCCGTCCCTGCTGAGCCCACTCTAACACACTGGCCATACTGACCCTCTTACACAGTGAGTCAGACCCGACCAATCCCCCTCTGAGACCTTCACCGGCTTCCCACCTACAGTAAAAACCGGGAGCTACAGATCCCTAAGGTGCCCGAAAGATCTGGTTCTTGCTCTCTCTCCGAGCTCATCTTCAGCCATCCCCCAGTACCTCCTGCCCCGCCACACTAGCCTCCTTGCCGTTCCTTGGACATTCCAGACACACCCCTACATCAGGACCTTTACACTTGCTGGCTCTTTTCTTACAGGAATGTTCTTTCCCCAGGTATCTATATAACTGATTCTTATTTCTTTAAAGTGCTAACTCAGTGTCCCCCTCTTACTGAGGCCTTCCCTAACCTACGCTTATAAACTTGTGTCCCCCTAACATTTTCTAACTAC